TGCTGATTTATTTATATGACACCAGCATTCATAGATGTTAAAATTTTATTGTATAGAGTGCCAGTCACAGATACGCACTACATAAAGAGGAAGCACCTCTCCTAAGATTTCTTCACCAAGTCCTTGTTGCAGATTCAGTGAGTCAGAAGGCTTTTTACTTTTATAAACTCTGTGCTACTGGGCCTGAAACACACTCTGTTCAAAAACTTCTGAAGATGTCACCTCAGAGGTAGCATGAAATAATTGTAACCCCCAGTGCAACTAACCCTACTCCAGAGTTTTTACTATACCTCTGTGTGAGAGCTTCTCCAGGATGATCCTCAGGCGCTGAAGAACAGGGGGTGAAATGTCATATTTATAGATGTCTATTACTGGTACTCTCTGACATCTCCCAAATATTCCATCTGCAGGAGAGAGCAAAAGAAAAGGAAAAATAGACATTTCTTTTTCTGAGAGGAAGAAACATATGATGAGATGCGCATTTCCAATATATCCTAATTACGTACTGAAGGAACCTTTTAAAAGACACTTTAAAAAGCTATCAAAGGACTACTGAAGTCATGAGACGGAGTATTTTCTATCAAAATAAATAACTACTGGAAAAAATACTAGTTGGAGGAAGATTCTGTTGTACAATGTTATGCATACTTTATTTTATAAAGTAATTTCAGACTTCTGCCTCCCAAATCTTTTGATGTAAGACTTCTTTACTGACAATTCAGTGGGAAAAAATATTAATGTTCAGTGCCTACTATGTTGCAGATGAAAAGTGCAGCACCCAGAAATATAAATATTAATTTGCAGAAACTATGAGGATTTGCTGAAACATTTTTAATGCGGTAGCTGTGTGTTAGGCATTGGTAAATGAGAACTGAATCCGTAATGGCTAGCAAAGACTCATTTCAAGAAGTACCCTCTAATGAATGCAATAAAAGAAAGCTGCTCGCAGAACAATGAGATATTAATGTGGCCTAATTTATTTAGCTCCATTCCATTTGTCTAAAATGACAGACTCTTCTCATCAATGTCCTTTCAAATCACACCTTCTAATTAATTTAGCTTCTTATTAGTCTTTATTTAGAGAATTGTTCATTTTGAGACAAGCTTCCTGTGTATGTGTGGGAGGAACAGGGAGTTCAAACATTCAAATTACCTTTCTCTCTTTCATACAAAAGACTAATTCAGAGCCTAGGTGCTTCACATACAATCTGACCATCTGCAATTCTAGGCCTCTGAGAAAGAAAGTGGTTTCATTTATTGTTCAAAACTGTTCTCTTCTATATAGTGATCCAAAGGAAGCAATTTAAATGCAACAAGTTTAATTAGCAAAATATTCTACTGCAGTACTAGTTTTAACACAGTAATTACTTCTGCCCTGATATTACATCTATGCTCAAAAAGGAGAGCTACATCAGATTAGCAGAAAATAACAGTAAGTATTAATTTGCAAACGTCCATTACTTTCTCTGCTACTTCACAGAACTACAAGACTACAAATGAGAACTACTGGCCCAGCTGTTCACTAAACAAAAATAATGGCATAAAAGAAAATAAACCAATCCAGGATGCAGATAAAGGGCATTATTAGCCTTCACTGTTAAACACAAATACCTCATTGAAATTAGCCAACTTTTGCTTTCTTTGCTTTTCCAATCCTCCTGTCACTTACAACTGCCAAATTAGGTTAATCCAAATTAGAAACTTACCTCTGAGTCTAATTTTGTTATTGGACACTAGGTTTAATTTAGAAACCGCACACATAGATCTAGTTTGTTTTTCTGCCATATAACGTATAAAGCAGCCTAACAGCAGATTAAAATATTCATCTCTGTTTAAAAACCTGTTGCAGTTGGAAATAAGCAAAGTATATAAATATCAGTCACTTGCAAATGGACAAATACCAGGAATAAATAATGTCCTGACTCAGAAAGGAATGGAAGAATATTTTAGTGTTTAAGAACAAGATTGTTCAAAACAAAACATGACTTGAAATAGCCAGCTCTATTTTGGAATACCACCATTACTGGCTACAAGTAATTAGGGCAAAATCTATGTTTATATAAACAACTAATATTCCACGATTCTTTAAAGATAATGTACCTTAAAAATAATATAATCCTAGAGTCCAGAAAAGCACACACATTCAGCATGAATTAAAGTTTTTTGTATTAAGTATCATTTAAAAATATCTCAATGGATGCAAAAGCGAATTCACTCACAAACTAAGAGAGACCTAAACTCTTTTTCTAAACCCAGAGTTTTCAGAAACCTTTAGCCTACTGCCTTTGAATACAACAAAACCTATTTCAAATCTAAAATTAACAATTAGCACGTGAGTCTGAGCTGCATTATACAATCTATCCAAAAACACTAGGACTGCTTAGGGAGAAACTGCAACTTATTTTGGCTTTTGTACTTGAAATATGGGCATAATAAGCTTTGAAGAGGCTGCAATCACAAATAGCGCTGTGCTTGGCTAAATGCAAAACTAGGAGAGTTGAGAAGGAGCAGTATGCCCCAAGGAGCGGTTGGCAAATACCATCTCGAAAATACAGAGGGTCTTTATAGTGGGGATTACAGTTGGACTGGAGTTGTGCAAATAGTAGATTTCATAGTTCAGATCAGTAGCTTCTTTTAAAAAAGTAGGAATTTCCCCAGGTTTTTCTCTTTGGTTTTGGTTTTTTTTTGTTTGTTTGTTTGGTTGGTTGGTTTTTAATTTGATTGCAGTTTCCGTGGCAAGATTTAAAACGTAAAAAATTCAATTGATACTGAGCATTCATTTTCAGGGTACCTTTTAGTTAAACCTTCTTAAAATTACATAGATTTTAGGGGAAAAAAGGCAGGGGAGAGTGATTTTACAAAAAAATATTTTTAAAAGTTCCCCCTGTTTTTCTTTCCAAAAAATCTATTTGGCACATGTGGCCCACATTCAGAAATGGCTTTGGTCCAGCACAAACCTCATTTTCACTTAAATTACAACTTGTGTTTAAAAACTGCCCAGCTTAGTCTGCCATGGACTATCCAAAACCACTGTGATCTTTACAGTGAGTAAATACATGGTGCGTCTTTCCAGACCAGCTGCACCCAGCTCTGGCGCAGGGCGATGTGGGGCTGTTGCAGTGTGGTGGTGTCCAAGCCCTGTCGTGCCCCCTTTTGACCTCTAACAGCCTCCAACAAGCGAATTGCCCAAAGGTGTCATGAAGCAAAAAGGAAAATGGAAAAACTCCCAGATTTTACAGTAAATGTCATATGGCAGAGGAAGTTCAAAGCATGAGTGATGCTTTAATAACCACCACCCAAGGAAAAGGCCTGTATGCCTATCACCATTAAGAGTGTGTTCATTCTGAACTTTGATTAAAATTGTATTCTAAGAAGGAACGTAATATGAAAAAGACATCTGCTCTTTACACATGCCCAGAATGAGGGAAGGTTGAGACAACCGATCAATATACACATATGGTTGCTATTAAAGTGCTATCATTTGCTAACCGTTAGCAAAAAGTAGTATCTGAAATTTCCATAGTAATATCTTATAAGTTATACTTAGACCTGGAAACATCTGCGTTAACAGCATGGTAATGTTGACTTTTAGACAGCTTCTACATTTGTTTCCAAAGAAGAGACTCAAACAGAAGAATAATATGCCTAAGGAGACAGTGAGATGCTTCTTTATGCATTTGGCTATTTTACTAATAAGTTTAATATTTGGGAAAGGATGCAAGCATAAATTTTTAAGAGCTGCTATTTAAAATCTTGAATTTTGACAAATATATATATTACAAAGTTAGATACTAAGATTAAAAGACACAAATTCAACCTAACCCAGGTGCCTAAAAAGACCTCAAATAGTGGCAGATGAACATCTTTTGTTAGAGACAACACCCTGGAGCATGGTACATGTATTTACACTGAATATTTGTCAACTTCTAGTGGAAAAAATACAACTGACAGATTAAACAGCGAACAAGTCAAAACACAAGTTCTGGAAGGATGATTTTTGAGGGCGAGTTAGAAGCAAACAGAAAACTCCCATCTTAATTCTTTATTATTGCCCATTTGTGATGACTTAGTAGATATTTATGATCCCTATTACCTACTGAGGAAGGAAGCACCATGTTACATTCATGACTGACATCTAGGTACTGAATTATATAAATGGACAGAGCATGAAAACCTATAGTCTGAAACACAGTTTTGAAAAGTCGATTGTGCCAACATGTTCACTTGGTAAGGTAGACAGGCATCATGTGCGTACCAGAAAGTCTTTGGAAACTTGCACTGAGTGACCACCTTCACCTTGAAAGCAAGACTATTTGTGGGCAGCTGATTCGTTCAATTCATTTTAAGTAGTGTTTCCTACAAAAAACCCCGTGTATAATAAGTTATCCTTGGCTAGAGAAACATATGCCATCCTGAAACCACCAAGTATGGCTAATCTGACAATTGAAACTAAGGGGTGTACAAGACTTGGCACATTTTTGAATAATACCCGCAAAAAAAGAATGAGTTCTTATTGAATGTATTTTGCTACTGAGCAAAGCTATGAGAACTGGTAGAGACACTGGAGTTTGTCTGCAGGCTTATGAAAGCTTGAGATGTAAATTAAAAGATTGTGTTCTGCAGTAATTAATTATTTAGATCTACATGCAGTGAAATTTTCACATGGCGCTGACAAGTGACCTTTGCAAAGGAGCCTTCAAGCAGATGCTTTGAAGCACCCAGTTCTGCTCTTCAAACTTCCTGCAGCAGCTGGAAAGGAAGCGGCTCTCCAGACAGTGACAGCATTCACACACATGGGTCAACCAATGCTTCAGCTTCTTTACCCTAATTACCTGACAATTGTTAAAAAAATTATGAAGTAGAGTTTTGTATAAAATTTAAGTTTTGCCCCATCTTGCAGGCATTGTGCTTTGTTCCTGTGTCGTAAAATAAACAAGAAAGTCCACAGACCCAGCAGTGTGTCAAATGGCACCTGCTGCCACCTTTGACTGTGTCATTTATGTTCTTACAGTTAATCAGAGAACTTCCTCTAATGCTTCTGCAGGGTTTTCAGTGGGCATTGCTCTTCAGCAACTTAACCTTCTGTAAGAAAAGGATTTTTTCTTCACACAGAATATGGACATGACTTTACATTCCTTCCGTCAGCTATTGGTTTAAGGTGCTGTAAGGTCCAAGAGTAGTCCATGACTAATGAAAAAGCCAGTGCTTGATGTCTTATAACCCAAGGTTAGAGTCTGAGTTGCCTACTGGAAAGATTAAATCTTTTTCCAATAGGAAGCATAATGTTTGCATCTCAAAAGTCTCAAGATACTGGAATTCAAGGTCACAGATGTTAAATGTTTTAGGAAGTATGAAGGAGATTATCAAAGTATTTTGTTGTTCTCTCCCTGCCATTTCTCTCCAG